AATAACATTTATAGTGAAATGTTATGGTATACATATCTGCGCACAGATACGTACAGTTTGTCTTTCTTTTTTACAGTTCTGTAGCTAGATATTTATTAACCAGATGCTCAGTCTGTGATTACAATGGCAGTGATACAAGAGCGTGACACGGATATTAAAAAATAAAATAAAGTAAAATAAAAAAAAACCCATATTGCATAATGTCTCTCAAAAAACAAAGCAGACTGACATTCATGGAACATTTTAAGGTGTGGGAACAGTTAACAATAACAGCATTACTCAGCGTGCATCGTGCCTGTCAACTTGAATAAACATGTCTACATATGGGTTATGATCCAAAATAACCAGAAAAATAAGGAACATGTGTCTCCCATTTATCAGAAAGTTCTATCAAAAACTTTACTAAATGTCTGAAATAAACCTGAAAGAATGACTCGATTGACTGCCCGGTAAACTTCAAGCAAAACACAGTGAAAAGTCTTTGTTGTAAACAGCTGCTAATATATTAAAGTATCTCTAATTAAAGTAACAGCTAACTACATGTGCAAGTCGGCTGGCACTGAAATTTAAGTAGCACAGGCCAACTCTATCAAATCACCGCTAAAGCTGGGTTTTACATCGAGCCCACTATGTAACTGCCATTGTGATTCCCGTAACCAACACATCTCCTTACATTACCCCTCCTCTGCCAGTAACATAACTCCGAGACTATTTCTATGGAAGCACCTTCCTCGTGACTCCTCTCAGCACGACTCATTCACTCAACCCATTTTTCTGAGCGATGCAGGGCCCTGCAACACCGTGACAGGAGGAATGCCAATGCAGCTTTTTGATCTGATTGGGAAATTCCTGCGAAAACCCTGAAACCCACCACTATCTCCAAAGATGATGCCAGCAGACTGTTAGTTTTCCATGAGATAGACTAAAGATATTCCATCAGAATCAAAAAAGACAAAGACAAAAAAGTAATGACTGACAATACAGCTGTTTTTATTTTTTGAAAAAGTAGATCCAAGAGTAATTTAATCTTCTGAGCATTTTTAAACATCAAGAATTCATTCATTAAAAAACAAATCCTGTTGTTCAGTGTCTACAATGGTTGCTCTGATTTGTTTGTTTATGTCAGTCAGTCACCAAAGCTGAAGGCCATTTAAGGTCATTTAGCAAACAACTGGATTGTCAGCAGTTACTTTTTGTCTTTGTCTTTTGTGATCCTGATGAAACAGTGTTAGTCGGTCTTTACAGGGAGGAGATTCACAGTTTGACACCATAGAGAGCTGGGGAAAGTCTCCAGCTTTAGGTTCCTAGGAGTCACCATCACAGAGTGCCTTTCCTAAGCCAGACTCCTCCAAAAACCTGCTTAACAACTTCTATAGATGCATCCTCACAATCTCCGGCTCATCTTTAGCCTACTCACTGTGCAAAGAGTGAAGGGGAAATCCACAAAGACTCTGAAGGTGCTTCAAAGCTATCCTCACACAGAGACTTGAAGATTATTTCAGGCTTCTTGCTGAACATAGCTGTCAAATGACTTTATAACCCTACTGTGATATATTCTCCTGCTCAATTCCACATGTTTATGCTCCTCAGGAATATATGGACACATTTATACGTTATATATTTAGTAACTCATGTAAAGTGCATTATCCTATTTTTTTCAAATCCACCCTAAGATATATACATTACACATATTCATATAAGTAGTTTATAATATCTCATATTCAGTGCTAACGTACAATATTCTTGTGTATACGTGTATTTGTATGTATATATATATACACAAACACAGCAGATACACGTGTCAGTATATTTATCTGTTATGTAAATGTAATGCAGCATGTGAGATAGTAAAGCTAGACTTTTGTTATGGATGCATAATGACAGCAGAGACTCTTGAATTTGAGTCACAACAGGGCCTACAAACAGCCTTTTCTGGCTTAAGATTTAGTTTTTGTGTGCTATATCTTACTAATAGTTAATAGCCTACTAAGGTCAACAGCTACTAAAATTAGGAGGAGTTTGTGTCAAACATTTTAAGGAAAGAAGAAGTATGAACAAGCATCTACAACAGAGAAACAAAAGTGCCAACTCACTGTTCATTTTCAGCCAAATCATCGTACATCATGACCACAATCTGCTCGTCGGGGATGCCATTCCTGTGGACAATCTGGTAGGCATGGCAAGCATCGGCCTGAGCGAGCAGGAGAGCAAAAGATTCGGAGGTCAGCTCCACATTATCACAGTATGCAGCTTTTTAAGCAGCGAGAGGAGCACTTGGACAACAGGCATTAGGGAGGGGAAGTAGCTTATCAGAGCTTAAAGCGGTGCTTATCAAAAACCATGAGAGAAAACTATCGAGTCATGCACAGCTCGCACGGTGGTCGCAGTTTCACCTGGTGCCTGTAGTTGTACCAGCCGTTGGAGCCAGCCACAATAAGCACCCAGTGTTTTCCGCCACTGTTTTCCTCTTCCTGGGTGGGAAACCCAATAACGAGTCCGGCTGTCAGGCCAAGAAGGGCGAATAGGACGGACCGACACATCTCCTCGCTTTCTGTGGGATTCCTGGATGGATGACAGTAGGGAAAAATATTCAGATCCTCTTCTAGATTTCAGCTATGTTTACCGAGGTGGCAACAAACACGGAAAACTGAAAAAAATAAAAACACGTAAACGTCTCACCTGATAATTCTGGGAAGCTAACTAGCCATCAGTAGCACAACAAGCTTCGCAAAACATGGACTTTTAAAAAAACACTCGGAGTGAGTTAAAGCTATTAAGACACACCGCTCAGTCCTAGAAGTTTTAAAGGAAGACAAACACATATTTTATTACCTTTTCTTTGCGTTGTTAGACGAGGAAGGGGGCAACAACCGACTACACTCAAATCCTCAGCGGCACTCCAGTTATATTTAATGTCGGGGGGCAAAACAGTTGGCATCGTCTTCTACGGGAGCCAATCAGAGTGCTCTGGGGCGGGGCTAATCATGTGAGTAAGGTAACAGCTCTCCGTCATGTGACACTATTATGTTATAAGGCTATAACACAAGTATAAATGCATTTATGTTTTGGATGTAATTTCAAAACACCATAATCTCCTTGGACATCGGTTTTTGTTATTATTTTTTATTATATTTTAATTTGGTTTTGAGGTAATTTTGTGTTTCCTTTTGAATGATCACCTCTACTTCTTTGTCCTATTTTCTCTCTGTGGTTACTATCTCTTTCACTTCATTTTAATCACCCTTTTATATACTACAGCAAAACCATAAATATAAAATTCAATCCACGTGCTGATCACAAGTTTGATTTTATGCTTACTGACACAATTATGACTGCTCAGCTTCTGCTTGAAAGTGGGGATTTTACCCCATATTTTCCATATATGGGGTATAATGTTAGACTCAGGCTTGTTGCAGCCCGTCATTAAGGTTGGAAGAGCAGGTAGGTGGGCTTGTTTTCACAGTTAAAGCGGTGCCCTTAACATTATCAAATTAGTGAAATCACCGCTCTTTAACATCAGAGATCCAAATGAAGAAGAAAAAAAAACTTTCTGAAAGAATGATTTTAACCCATACAATTCTATCAAGCTTCAAATATTTCCTATGACCACCTTTGTTCTTCAACAACCAGAGCTCTCTTATTGTAATTTCTTATAAGTAGTATTCAGGAATAGTTATCCAGGCAACTTGAATATGGAACGCCAGGACTGATATAATGAATTAATTCAAAGCTCTTCTTTTGATGTTGCTGCCTAGATGATACCACACTGCTCCAGTAATGTTGAGGTTTGGACTCTAAGGATGTCAGTGTATGACATCGCTCCACAGCACCTGTTACCACTGATTTTCAGTTTAGTTCTTGTTTAATTTGGCATACCACAGCCTTTTCTGCCTGTGCCTTAAGAATGGCTCCTTGACAGCCATCCTTCTATTGATGAGGCTTCAGTGAACTGAATAAACAGAAGAGCTCTCCCTCAGGGCCTGTGTTAGATCTTTGCTGGATAACCCCCCCCCCTCCCCCCATTTATTAAAGACATCACTTTCTGACACTGTTCATCTGCTGCAAATATATTTTTTAAGACTGTAAGTAAAGGAAGAGCTGGCAATTTTGTTTGATTTTTTTAAAATGAACTGCACACCATAAAATATGCTAATTGTAAGCAAACAGGTTTTTGGAAATCACCTTGTTGGTGCAAAAACACTATTTTATCTTTGTCCAACTGCATTTCCTTTGGCAATTTTCATAGATTCAGGTAAAGAAATGGGAACAAAATCTGCTTTTGTGACAGGCTGACAGTCTCAAAGCGTACAAAGACAGAATTTAAAATTGGTTCTTTGTCAAGATGTCCGTTATTTGTAAACAAGACTAGTTTCAGCCTTTAAATTAGGTGCCATTTTTATGCTTGAATGATTTATGTAAAATACTGATCTGAAAATGGTCAAGAACAAGGACTGGACTGAAAATAATGAGTGAGTTTCACAGAGTGAAAAAGCAGCCAATGTCCAAATGAAAAACTTATATAAGAAAGTCTGTCTCCTTGGAAACAAAATATAAAAGATATGATTGGTGGGTTGAAACTTTTGCATGGCACAGAACAATTAGCAAAGCAGAAGAGAGCTACTTTAATGATAAAGTTGTTTAGGTTGTTCTTTTGAAAATAAACTCATGAATAAAATCATTCAGAGTATCAAAGACAGCAATAAATCAAACTTTTATTTCTCCATATAGAAAAGAATTAAGTTAAATAGAGAAACAGTCCACTGAAATTGCGGCATCTCATTTTCAACCAATGGTCCTTTGTACATTAATCTTTGTCCCAAAATGAAAAAAAAAAAGATGTAACAAAGTGTAAATACCGTATTCACAGTAATAAATATTGAAAACAAAATCTTTTATACATTGACATTATATATATATATTTGTGTAAATATATATAGATATAGATATAATCATATACAGTAAAAAGTTATTTTCAAGTTTATCAAACATAAAATATTAAAATAAAAATGGCCAAAAACAGAATAATGATTGCATTTTTCTTTCCATTCCCAAGGCATCTGTAACCATGGCCATTCAGAATCTGTAATAAATAAAATGTGAATTTATCTAAAGATTGTAGTCCATCACTGTAAATTAAAAAAAAAAATAGTGCAAGTTCTTTTTTTCTTAGGCGTAAATTAATCTTGCAAATTTCAAACTAATCCAAACGGAATGACAACAATGAAACAGAGGGTGTTGAGGACAACATCGAGTCTCTGACTTCTGTCAGTTCTGCACCACAACTTTCTTTGTAGTCTTGGCAGCAAAAAACAAAAAATAAAAAACATAAGGATTTCACATGTATGAATCCATAGCAGATATTCAATAAACTTATTTGGCAAATAGAGGACAAACAAGAAAGAAGAAAGAGCTCCACGAGCTCCTTACACTCAGCTCTGTCAGGATTTCCAAAAGAAAAAAAGAAAAGGAAATGCATAGAAATTAATTACCAGTAGCAAGAACTAACTTAAGAGTTGTTTACTGTCATGCAGCATTTCTGAGACGCAAAGCAAGGCAGATATTGTGGATGTGAGTGTCGATGAAAGCATTGGATAAATGTATACTCTGCCTGTGCTTGCACATTTCCCTGGCTTCCTTTCCCCCTCAGCAGTAAGGAACGGGGGAGGGGGGAGAGCTCCCATTTCCTGTTTGTCTCCAGCCTCCTGTTAAAAGCCAGAAGAAGGTCTGACTTCATCTCCACGCAAGCGCGCAGGGGTATATGTGTGCGTGCAAGTGTCTGTTTGTGTTTGTGTGCTTGCTTATCCTCAAACCTCTGCACCCAACTCAATGACCCCAGTCTCAATAATGGGCACTAGCTTATCTTCCACCTGTACCAGCAGGATGGTTTTGTCTATATGGGAGCGATTGGCTGGGTCTCGGCTACAAGGCACCCACCGGTGAATCACCTGCAGGGGGCAATAGAAGAAACATCCAATAAAATTTATGAAGCATTTATGACAGAACAAGTAGGTCAGAAAGGGTGTTACAGGGCAAAAAAAGAGGTCATGTGCAAGCATGATAATAACTGCTAAATCACATTTATAGCACCAGAGGTGAGTGGGTGTGTAAAATGAGTGTATGAGGCAAACTATAGCAACATATTTACATAACCTAGAGTTTACTTCATCTGTGTGTGAAAATATGTAAAGGTGCTGATTTGGTAACATCTGTGAGAACACACTTACATGCCCTTCCATGCCCTCTAAAGGGCTCCAGTCTCTCCAGCAGGTCCTTCCTGCTCTCAGTCTCATGGTTTCGTCTGGCCACTGCAGCTCTTTCCGCTTCGATAAGTTAATGTTCTCCAGCACCAGACTCACGTCCACAATCTGAGGTGAAGACACGGACCGACAGTGTGTAAAAACTTATGCAACCACAAAGGAACTGAGGGCTTTTACTAGAAAGAAATCACTGACACTGCACGCCCAAACAAACACACAAAGGATAAAGTGGAGAACAATAAAAAATAAAAATAGTTCTATCAGGACTTTTTTTGCTGCTGTGGATACACAGAACAGAGTATTTACAAACCTGCACTCTGTAGGAGATGTCATCTCTCCGTACTGTGGAGACAGTGGGGTTGTGTTGCTGTAGGTGTTGATGATGGTGATGGTGCTGGCTGAGGGGGTCTGTCACGGTGTTGCAGAGGCCATCATTGCCCAGTAGGCCAACCAGTGTGTGACGTTTGCAGGGAGGTATGCTGTGGCTGGAGAGGGAGGCTGAAGGGCCAGCGGGATCAGAGGTGGAGCCCAGCCGGAGCTGCAGAGATGTAGGGAGCGTGCGTAGAGACAGCTGGCTGGTAGAGGAACGTCGACAGGGCTCCAGGCCGGTGGTGGAGGTGCGAAGCGAGGAGTGGCGGCTGCTGCCATAGCGGTATGATGACGAATGGCTCGCCACGGAGGCCCGGGCGGGAGAGTGCCGCACCAAACCCGACTGAACCGACTGGGAACTTTGACTGGTGCCTGGACACAAAGGGGAGAATTGGTTAGTTTTCATACTATGCTGTTAAAGGCAAAATGTGACAGAGGAGCAGTAGTTCTCACCCAGAGTATGTGGCTGGTATGAGTGAGGAGGGGGAGGTCCTGAGGTGCCCCCCTGAGATATTGAGCTCTGCTGAGAGTCGCCACCTGTCCCATTCCCACTGCCGCAGGACAAACCCCCTGCATCTGAATCCTCGATATTTCCGCCACTATTACAGCCTGCACCACAACCTTTCCGTAATCTGACAAGAGAAATCTTCACATTAATCTCAACGCAGATCCAAAATATACAGAAGAAATACTCAACAGAGAAGAACAACACAATAGGAAATCCAGCAAACCTGTGCCAGGTGCTGACAATAAAGTTGCGGATGTTTCCGATGCTGATGGGACCTCCCAGGATGTGTCCGAGCTGCGGGTGTGAGTTGCAGTAGGAGGTTGTCAGCGGGGATACGTAGATTGGATATCCAATAGGCTGGTCGCAAGAAGAGTTGATCATGTTACGCAGAGCCTGCTTGGCGTTCTGGATGCTCCCACGCTCTGGATTTCTATTTCTCAGGAACACTAACTCCTGCTGCTGCCCTGCCCAAAGTCCTCGGACACATTCTTTATTTACCTGCAGCAAAATTCACAAGTTTGCATTAAATAACCCGGCTTAGAGTGAGTATCATTAAACCGTTCTGTGCAGTCTGTTGACTCTGTTGCAGACCCACCTTGATAACCCGGAAGCTGAGGTATCGCCTATTGAGCATTATAATTTTATACTCGTTGGTTCCTTCGTCCAGGACGTGGCGCAGAGCTAGGAGCGACGGGGCGTTTGACAGAACGGCACTCCTCCAGGCAGGGTCCCCTTCGTGAGCGATGACCAGGTTCTGCTGGTGAGAGGAGATGGCCTCGAAAAGAACTGCTGGCTCATCGTACTCGTCGGGGGACGTGAAGTGGTCCTGAGAGGAAAAAAAAAAAGTTGAGAAGATAAAGTTGAGTATAGGGTTTAGGACAGTTTTTGTCTCAGTAGGGGGCTCAGTGGGGCCACATTCAGGGTCTCACCTGGTGTAGTTTGAGAGAGATTCGGATACCAGGCACCACAACTTTCCTGAGCAGTTCCATGTCTGCAAAGATCCACTCATCTCGCACTGAAGAGATGCGAAAATCTCCTTTAAAAAGAGCATGAAGTCCATAAAGGAAAGACTCCAGATTGCTGTGATGAAAAGAAGAAGAAGAAGGAAAAAAAAAAAGATTAGTCGGTACTCTTTATCTGGCTCACACAGACAGAGAGAAAATAGGAAAAGACAATGAGTGCATTTATGCTTAGAAAGATGTGCTTTTGAAAGCTAAACAGGAAAACTACAGGAACAATTGTCACAACAAGTCAACCTCCTGTTACTGTTTACTCTCAGTTCATGACACATTTGAACTCCTTCACTCACAATACAATAACAATTACTAAATAACCTGGACATATGATGGGCTGCAGTTCCCAGAGCTCTCCTTCCCAGCACGCACAGTCCAAAGCAGAGCAGCACCAGAGGTGAGTCTTTCTCACTGTCCAGTGGCTACAATCCAAGCAAAACATGAAAGATTTTAGAGGGCAGCTTTTATCTCCAAATACAGATATTTTCAACATGTCTCTGTGATCCCCCACATAGTTTTTTATTAAAAAAAAGAACAACCCCCCATATCATCTGACAACAACTGACGCAAATACAGGACCCCTTTGGGCAGTAACAAGATGCAATGACTTTTTAAAGAGTGATTAAAATCAAACTGCTCAAGGGATTTAAAGTCTTTGAAGATCTTAAGTTGCCACTGTCATGCTATTAGAATATTTCTTTTATTTATTGTGACAATGCAATGAAATATGCTTTGCTTGTACAGCTGGGGGGAAAAAAGACCAATAGCCTGCTGCAATTTGGGGGACAATAACTGTTCCACAAGCAGAATTGAAGGCCTTATTACCTTGGCCCTTCGGGAGTTGCAGTACTGGATCCAGCCCAGATAGACACCACAGAAACTGTCCCTGGAGATGCCCGCAAGCCGGTGGTCATAGTCCTCATCAATGTTGGGATTGAAAGTGGGATCCAGATCGACATAGTTCCTCTCTCCACATCCCCGCAGGCCATCTTTCATGGTCTCATTAGCCAGCCATTCCTCCAGTTTAGGAGAAGCAACTACATAGTAGATGATACCCTGAGCACAGAAAGGGATGATGCATTTAGAACTTTTAGAAATCCCACACTGCACTAAAACATTCTTCTCTCGTGTCATCCCACAAACCTTGACATAGTAGGTGGTGAGGATGCGGCGTAGATCGAACACCTGCAGCATGGAGGCAGCGCTGTTATCAGTGATGCTGTAGCCCTCCAGAACATATTTGGTGACCAGCACCTCCCACGCCAGCCAGCGCTGCCCAAAGGCAGCATTAAAGGATAGGATGTGAGGGAGATGGCCTGGCTCGCAGCAGCAGCAGCCCTCATCTTCCTCCACCCCTTCAGTGATGGCTTCGACTTCCCTCTGTTGGCAGTAAGTTCCTGTGGAGGAAATGTCAGCATGTTATTGATGCTGTGTGGGACACAGGTCCGTTCCAGTTCAGTCCGGTAAAGTGCAACGAGTGAGAGAATCGTGATTATCATTAATAGTTCAACCTATAATTTTCTGTTAACTAACTCGTTGATTAATCACTTTATCATTGGAGCTTTAATCCAATAAACCGGCAGAAGGAAGATGCTCTGTAATAAACACAAAGCTGCTGACAGAAACTGGTGATGAGTGTCATGCTTTGGGGTGTGCCTCCAATTCTATAAAACGTTTACTCCGTCACATGTTCTCAGCTAATGTTTCAGCAGGTTTATTTGCAGCACAAAGCTTCAGGCTGAATAAAACAAAGTCACGCTGATGATAAAGCACGACCAGGTGTGTTTGGGAAGGAGATAAGAATGACTAAACAAATATAGTGGAATGCCACTGATGAAATATCTCAAGTAGTACTTGTAAATAATTCTCAGGGTTTAGTTTGACCTCCTTAAAAAAAAAGAAACAAAAAACAAAACAAGTATACAAATATGAATGGAGATTGAAACTGGAGATCTATGAAATGCCAAACACACTTGAAAGCCAATACGTGTCACATTTATTTTGCTCTATGGCAGATCTACGATGGGAACTGGCTTCACAATTTTAAAGTTAACTTTGTGCTGCTACACTACATGGACAAACATACTGGGCCACCTACACATTACTCCTACAGGAAGTGTTTGGCCTTGGAAACTCATGTCATGAAGCTCCTTGTCCACAGTTTTCATGCTGATCGTAATGGAAGAGGAGGTTTGGAGCTCTGCAGTTACTGAGTCAGCACAGCGTTTGCAACTTTTACACATTACATGCCTCAGCGACCCCACCCTGTAACTTCATGTCATCAATTCATGGCTGAGTTGCTGTGGTTCTTGCACGGTTCCCCTTTGCAATAATACACTTACAGTTGATTGCAGAAAATCCAGGAGGGAAGAACTTTCACAAAATGATTTGCTGCAGCAGTGACGTCCTTCTACAGTACCATACTTGAAACCAGTGAGTTCTTTAGAATGACCCACAAACGTTTGTTAAGACAGATGGCTAGGTGCTTAATATTATACACTTATGGCCATGGGACTGAAAAGGCCTGAATTATAAGATTAAGAGGTGTGGGACAATACTTTTGTTCATGTGGAAATATAAAAATCTTGTAAATAACAGAGGTCAGACCAGACAAAATAATAATTACACAAAGAATATAAAGAATATGTTGACACAGCTGCCCAACCTCTAAAACTAACTGAACGATACATACAGCCTGTTTAGTGTGAAGAGTAAAAGGAGAGATGTGATATGGGCCACAGGTCTGACCTGACACTTGAAAATAATGTTTAATGAGGTACACTAAAAAGTCATAAAATACATTTTTACAAACACTTACAAAACGTTAGACCACATGATCTTGGTTTGGTTGACAAGACCCAAATAAGGTTACGTTTGAAGATTGTTTATAATATTTTAGTCACTTGGGATTCTACTTGGAAACAAATAAGACTGATCATATTAGCTGTAGTGAAACACCTGTTTTCTGAATTTCTTTTAACCTTCAATTCTTGCACTACAACGCATTTGTTAATAATTAATTGTCATTAATTAGTGACTGAATTCCTGCAACAGCTGGTTCAACACTTTTTACAAATGGATCTCCTCACCTCTGAACTCCAGCCCTCGAAGCTGAAAGGTAACAAGGCCGTTACCAATTTCTATGAGGTGCACCAACGCGTTCAGGTAGTCAGAAGCCAAAATGAAACAGTCCCCGGTGCTGAAGTTTCCCCAGCGGCCCAAGAGGAGGTCTCCACAGAGGCTGTGCTGCAGGGAGCGGGTCAGGTGCTCATAGAAGATGGAGTTCAAATTGTTGTCGTCAGAGCCTGAGGACAGATGAAGGAAGGAGTAAAGTACATTAATAAATCACACGTCACTGCTTTATTGTGTAACCAGTGTGATCACTAGGACACAATGAGGATTTAAGTCTGCCCCAATTAAATATCAACATTTAAGCAAGCAATTCTCTGGTTACAGTTTTAACCAAAAGACATGTCGTCACCTGGATTTCTGTCCAACTGAGAGGCCAGTCGAGTGTTTGAGTGATCCACTCTTTTAGTGCTGCAAGAAAACGGAAAAGAGCAACACATTTTAGATGTGGAAGAAAGTGTCAGAAAAATGTTTAAAAACAAAAAAACTCTTCACTTGTAGTCTCTCTCCCAGAACTTGACAGGACGGACATAAGAAGTGATGAAAATGGCGCTGCCCAGAAAGGGATTGAGGGGGGTGGAGAAGATTGCTGACACTACAGCCTGGACAAACAGCATGGCAGAGTCTGATGAGGCCTCAGGTCAAGGTCATTTGACAACTTGCTACAAGAAAAACTACAGCCTCAAAAAACAAAACACTTAACATGTTATAACAGGAAGAATTTACTGCAGTGCTGCAGACCAACATAAGAAACTGCTGACTCAGTCTATAGTATGCTGTGATAAGAGACAGCAGTGAAAGGATACGAGGCACGGCAAAGGGCTGAGCAAAGGCGTGGAAGGCTGAACCCCACGTGATCTGCCAGGGGGCGATGTAGGTGTAAACGAAGTGCAGCTTATAGAACAGCTCCCACATCTTAAAAAAACAAAACAAAACAAACCCCCCCCCCCAGAAAGAAACAGTCAAGAAACCAGTAATATGAATCATCCACCTGTGATATGATATGTATGCATGTGTCTTGCAGTTAATCAGAATATTCACTCAAATAATTTAAATACATTTCTCTCACCTTGCTGAAAATGATAGACATCAGGAAGAGGTCAAGCAACAGCGTCTCCGACAGTTGACGGTAGTCAAAGGTGAAGAAGAGGACAGTGAAGAGGATCGTCACATACTGGTAGGTAGGACTGCTGTAGCAGGAGCGAAGCAGTTTCAGGCCTGCCACTGTGATCATCAGTGCGCCGATTCTGGAGCAACAGCAAAGAACATTTTTTGTTTTGTTTAAGTACCACGCATTCAAACTTGCATCACTCTAAAAAGCTGATAGAAATCAGAGAAAGAGTCACAAAGAGAAACAACGGAGTCCTCACTCGGTGTCGAGTCTTTTCGGGCTGGCCAGCTCTCTGGCGCTGCCGCTGAGCTCGTTGAGAATAACGAGTGGATAGAGAACGTTCTTTTCCACAAACAGCAGCCACACGTGCAGCTTTTCAAACCACATTACATGGGCTGCATCTGACAAAAGAGAGGAAGAGCATTTGAGATGAAGAAAGAAGAAAGAAAATGAAGAAAGAAAAAAAAAAGACTAAATAAAAATTATTTTTCTGATTCCCCCCATGTGACTCAAATTCACTGTACTTACCCCTGACTTCAAACTGGTAGTACTCCTTGTTTTTTAAAAGAGGGTGAGAGAAGCAGTACCAGGGTAGCTGCTTGCGAACTTGAGGCAGCAGGTAGTGGGTGAGCAACCCCACCGTCCCCAGCAGAGCATACAGGACATAACTGAGGAAAGGCTGCGGGAACACAGAGATGCAATAATGCTTACAGTTTGTGTTTGCTGGTTTTATGAACAAGAAAAAATAACTGCCTAGATCATCATGAGTGTTAAAAGAATATATAATGTAACAATACAGCACACATTACATTTGATTTTCTGTATTCAAAACCAAAGAAATGACTGTACCTGCAGCGCTATGAATACTGTGCTAACGTGGATGGCGAAGTAAAGGACAGCAATGACCACACAGACGATCAGGTCAGACTGCAAACGCTCATTCTAAAACATTTGAAAAGAAACACTTAAGGGATCAAAGAAACAAAAAAAACTATTTTAGACTGAAAATTTGAACTGTGCAACAATTTTAACAACTAAAATTGATGTATACTCACCACTGAAGACCTAAGTTTCTCTGGCAGAGGGTCCTGGACCTCTGACAGGGGGTCTTCTGGATTTTTGTCTCTTAAATTGGGTAAAATCTTGGACTGTACCAGTGAGCTGTAAATCAAAGAGACGAAAATATTACCGGTTTGAAGGCCATCAACCTCCTGTGAGGGATTATACAATCAGAAGGATCGCAGAGTCAACATCTGTTAACACAACTATTTGGTGAAGCAGTGTTAAGCTATTTGAACTGATTTCAGGAAATCCATATCTAAGATAATCCACAGAATATGTTTGAGTAGAAAGTTCACACTTAACTCTTAACGGATGAAGCAGTTAATGGAAAATCCTTATTTGAACCAGATAAGGCATTTTCACCCATCCAACCATTAGGACCAGTTTTGGTTTTAAAAATCATGTAATATGTGAATTTTGCTTTAATACAAATCAAAGCTGTGGTGCATGTCTGTAAACTTACAGGAGGACAGAGGGGTCACTGCTCTGCCGGCTCAGGTGGTAAGACACTGCCACCAAGAGGCCACAGAATACAGAAAATAGCACAGGGATGTGATGAGGCTCCCAGGTCTCCTGAAACACAGTATCAAGCATTTAACACACTTCTGGGTGTCTGACCTTATGTTGCTGGTATATTTACACATACAGTTTGTTCATGTAGATGCCTGATGTTTCCAAAACTACTGGATGGACTACCATGAAACAGTCCAAGATGAATCCTGACAATAGCTTCTTTTCAATATGCTAAATTATGGTTCTGTGTATCCTCTATCCTGCCATGACCCACAAATCTCTTCCTCCAACATTATGACAGATCTTTTAGCAGGTTAAAAAGAACATAGAGAAGAGGCTTCTGGAGAAGCTAGGAGTGAGCAAGAACAAATGTAGCCTATATGTGGCATAGACTACATCTGCATAATTTTAAATGTTGCTCTTCCACATGTGATGCAGCTTATTCCCACGAGGCTTACTTTGTAGTGCTATGGATAAAGACCAGCAGCCAGTATAACAGAACATAGCGACATAGGGAGAGTCTCTATACCTTCTTGTTTCATGTGTTAAATCTAACACGTTTGCAATGTGGTTTGGCATCACGGAAAGCAACAGTTAGTCTTGTTTTTATTTTTATATTTAACACCCACACCTTTATGTAGTTAGGTATACTGTACAGTAATGATGCTTTACTTATATATGTGAATAAAAAATACGTTTTATGGACATTTGTACTTAACCGTTTTAAAGGTAATTCAGATGTGCAAAACATCAATACAACGATTAAAACTGATGCTATACGAGTAAGAACTCGTATAGCTCATAACAACTCAACTATGGATGTGTCTCTTCATCACATCTCTCTCCCATCCTCACCGGGAGGACGAGAAGCAAGTGAGGGAAGCGAGGAGACATGGAGAATTAAAGGATAATGAATTAGGACAATAAATATCAAGTAGTGTATCCTGGTGATTCCACAATAAATTCTCTACTGCAAACTGAGCATCACAGTTTTTAGTGTCGAGTGATGTTGACAACAGCTAGTTGGACTGAAATTCGACACAATCATTCATGCTTTCCTCAAACGCCAAGAACAAGAATCAGGTACTTCTTATTTTTTCCATTTATTGTCACCACCTCAACAAAATACGTTTTTTTTGTATTTTTAACATTATAGATCAAGAATACACTCCTCCTTGAGCGTCACTTGCACTTTGTGTTTAGTCGTTATTAGGCATTGTTTGCGTTCACCTTCAGAGCTCCGTAGCAGAAGCCGTAAAGCAGAGCGACAGTGACGATGCTGCGCAGGATGCTGTACAGTGCTGACAGAAGGCTTGTAGAGGCTGCAAAGGGAACAGGGAGGATGTCAGCAATGAGAGCACTCAAACTGACAGCAACAAGGGCAGGCAGAATTGAAATCAGCACAGTGGCCTCTTATGATGCCTGGTATATCATAATGTATAAGGTAAAGCAACGTGGATAAGTGGCTGACGTCTCATCCTGTAGAGGTCAAAGTCACCCCTGCAGAAAAGTTGTGTATCTAAAAGTTACTCACCATTGCCCCCGAACACATGGATGTCCAGCTGCTCGAAGAGATACATGACGAACGTATTGACTTGTGGCAGCAGCCCCACAAAGAAGATGATGGGAAAACACAGAGTAAAGACTGCAGGGAGAAGCAAGCAAAGCAAAATTAAACACATTTATCATCCTATAATTCTGTAATTTGCAGGAATCACCTTTCACACACAGGAAACAATACCCTGAGGCTCACTTCAAATATTACTGGTTCCTAATAGTGTACAGCAACGTCTCCAAAGACAATGCAGCAATAATTATTGATTATGGGTTGATGAAAGGAGCATTTAATATCTATATAAACCAAAAGAAAAATTTTGTTTTTAGTAGAGATTTGTTGCTCACACACAGTCTGCACTTTATGACTGTTGCAAAATCAATGGATCAGATCCCAGAAACCTATTTCATACATCTTATTAATGGTGGCAAACGTTAGAACCATTTGGATTACTTTAGAGATTTCTGAACTCGGGCTATTTTGTCAGTGCTTCCATAGTTTAAAACACTTTCAACATCTCATGATAGCTGCTGGGTTGTTTGGTTATTACTGCTCACACCAGGAATTCTACATCAGATGAGTCCTGAAATTTAACTCTTAATATTCTCAATAAATTTTTCCAAAAATGCTTTTGTCAGCTTTGAAAGTTCCTTATTTAGTCATTAATATTTTATCAGATAAAGTGCTTATGGCCACTTGCAGGATAAGCAAACTTTTTAGGGCCCTTAATATGTTTACTTATAACTTTTAAAGCATTTCCTGGCCTGGATTCAGCCTCCAGCTTTTGCACACATACACACCCAAACTGTGCTGCTCAAAGTTGTCTTGCTACGTCACCCCCTTTCATTAAATCACTTCTAAAACATCCAGGATTTAGCATTTTGGCATGTTTCTCTTTGACTTTCCTTTAAACACTGATTGTTATTCACAGAGTACAAAGAAGTAACAAGGTAGTGTACTCACCTATGACGAGGTCCCTGGCAGAGGTGAGCACCAGGGAGCTGGTGAGTGCGACTCCATACAGGGTGAAGCGAGAGGAAGTGGTCCGCAGACTGCTGTAGTGGAGCAGCCAAATGAGGCCACAGCACAGGCAGAAATAGACAGGCCGGCTGTATGCTATGATACGATTATGGCCCTGCAGGGACAAGGGTATGAGGATACAAATGGATCATTAAAGAAACATTTTTTTGTGGTTCAATATAGCTCAGTAAGACATACCCTGTGTATTAAAATAAGCAAAAAAGGAGAGAAATCCTAATGTTTTACATTTTTCTTTCTAAATAACAATTGTCTGTTGTCATAGTATTTATTAAGCAAGATAAAAAGCCATAATGCTAGCGTGCGCACTTGTTTTAAACCTTGGATAACAGCAAAAAACAGTAACTGCCAAGTGTAATACAACAATCATTCTAACAATCGTTCTTTAAAGGCATCAGTGTTATATCAGCCCCATGGAGAGTGACACAGGTATAAACAGAAATAGTATCAAGTGTAAGGTTTCACAGGAGAAGGAGGATGCATATCTGCAGCGTGCAGGTTGCAACCCAAGAGGCTATAAGATGTCCTGCTTTTCTACTTTGGGAGGCAGCGACAGCTCACGCACCACCAATCAGATTAAAAAGACTTTTTTTTTTATCTCCCCACCCCGAAATGTCGAGAAATGGGAAGGAATAAAGTCCTTGAGGTGAGATGAGAGGACACCCAGGGGGAAAGAGAGAGAGAGAGACAGAGACAAAGAGTAAGAGAGTGAGCTGTGGTCTAAACTCTGACCAGCTATTTAAAGCTTGTGCCTGCAGCTGAGTATGAGCTGCATTAATAAAAGACGCCGTTTCAGAGCAGGCCACTGACGCAAGGGAGGGAGGAACACCCAGGCTCACAAGGAAGGGGTGGGGGGTGGGGGTGGAGCAGCATCATCTTTCAGGACCACAACAAAGCAACAAAAAGCTGCTGAATAATAACTACAGAGCTTCAAAGTACTACTGACTTTCTACTTTTTCTACTTCTTATATAAAATCCATTTAATATCTTGTTTTGATGTCATTTCTCAATAAGTCTCCCTGTTCTAATGATTTGCAAATGACATACTTACATGACGAGGGGAAGAGGAGTCTGGTTGAACACTCTGTCGATAAAGAAAGGCACAATTAAAATGATAATGTTGACATACCTCGTACGAACATGTTATTACAAACTCTCCTAAGTAAAGAAATAAATCATTTTTATTTTTGCACCAGCTATTCCCTTAAAGGCATAACAAACCTCTGCAGGCATGCCTAACACATTTTGCAGCTTTTAAACTGCTTCTTTGCAGCAGTGCTCCTCTGTTGCACTTTAAGGTTGAGTCCTGTACACCCAGCTACTCACCTTTAGTAAGGAATACTGGCAGCTTGCAATGACGAGGCAGAACTGAAAGACCCAGATATCAGTGAAGAAGCCGTGAACCAGCAGCACGGAACCCAGAAAGGCCACAAGGACAGCCAGCACCACTGCCAACACATTCTCTAAAACCTCACGGTTCCTGTAACAATTGGGAAAAAGTCAATTCAAAAATTATTTGGAAGGTTTAACAGAGAAGAAAAAAAACTGTTCCAAAGACTGGGATCAACAAATAAATAATGTCAACAGCTCTCCATTTAAACTGGCAGCATGTGGTGATGGGTCAGCAAACTGGAGCGACTTAGGAGGATAATATTGACTGCAGAGATCCACGTGGTGCTTTAAAAAACAACAAATCAAAAATCAATTCTTTCACTGCCAACTGTGGTTATTCTTCTTGCTGCTGTTGAGAAGCTTACAGCTAGACAAGTCTGACTGAGTAACTCCCACATAGAGATAATTACAGGCAAGTGATAGAAAGCAGAGACTCCAAATCCCCAAGCAAGATGAATGATTTTATTTTCAAAGACTTAACAATGTGGCTGATGTTCTTGCTGAATCCAGAAACAGAAACAGAATTGACAACAGTGCTGTGCAAAAGTCCTGAGCTATCCTGTTTTTGAAGAAGAAAGAAAAAGAACAAAAACTCTCTTAGGCATGCATTCTTAAGGTCTGGGTTCTGGGGAAGCCAGTCCATGACCAAAGGTGTTGCATTGTGTGTTTTTCCATCCAGGTATGCATTTAGTGCCCTGGTAGTATGTTTGGGATAATTGTCATGATGAAAAATGAAGCTGCTGCCAAAAGCTAATCAAGGTTATTAACCCTTTCTTCTCTTTTCTGATCAGAGCCATTTCTGTCTGGCCTCCTTCCAGAACATAATCAATGGGTTACTGAGGGTGATCTCTGCCTGTACAGCTTACTACAGCTACACTTGGGAAAAACTTCAAACATAGTCTTCATTGATAGATATTGAGGTGTCATAACTTGTCATTAGGGAATGGGGTTGTCGTCAAATATCATCTTTATCGCAGGAAGGCCTCTTAGTTTTTACTTTCGTCCTCAAATTGTACAATTTGTTTTCTCTAATTTCTCAGGGCTACACTGCACACCATGCTGAGACATGTTACTTTTTGGCTGATCCCCTTTTTGGTGCAAAAATACAAATTTATGCCTGTAATCTGTGCTGTATTTGACATTTTGCATAGATTTAACTAAAGACAAGGGAAGAAATCGTGTGTTTTTGATACAGACTGCTAATAACAAAGTACCAAAAGACAATTTAAAATTTGTTCTCTGTTATGTAAACACACACAATGCTTGAATGATTCAGAGGTCAATGTTAATTGGCTTTAAAAAATAAAAATAAAAACGTGAAGTGAAAAGGATCCCATGTCCAAAGAAAAACTTTGAACGACCTTCAGAAAGCCTGGAGAACTATTCCTCAATTCAACTTTGGAAACAAAATATAAAGAAATAAGGTGTGGCTCAGGACTTTGGCTCAGGACTTTAGCACAGTACTGTCGATTACCATAACAGCTTTTGAGTTTACTATTTGAAGACAAGACTTTTGCAGGAAACTGCTAAACAAAAATGTTTACGACAGAAACTTAATATCTAACATCCTAAAATGTTCACAACAAAAGCTGACAGCAGTATGAAGCCAATGTAATCAACACAAATTAAAAATTACGGCAAACAAAACAAACAAAGCGATCCCACCAAGCTGTTGCTACAAAATGTTTCACAACAAAAGCACTGTTAATAAGCAGGGATTGACCGATCTGATATACAGTATCGGCCCAGTAATGACCTAATTTACTGGATCGGATATCGGGGAGAAATTTAAAATAAATAAATAACCCAATCCATTAAATATCACAAAAGTGCCTCACAAAACTTGCGACATGGTATAACCCAGGTCATGACCTTAGCACGACGGAGGAGTGTGCGTCACGTGATTGCGTGGCTAGCGTGTGCGAGATCAACTTAAAAAAAAAAAGTTCATCTCTGAATGTTTGGAAAGCACAAGCTAACCTGTTGATCTCTTTGAGTAGTGAATGTAATGCTGTAATTCTGACTGGACAATGGAGAGCAGATTGTAGTTTTGTTTGTTTGTTTCAATTAAAGGCTTCTTGTGTGATTTAAATAAAAGGCCTGTTTTTTTGTATTTTGGACTAGTAAACCTCAGCTAATAATGCACAGATAGATGTTTTTGCAAGCTGAGACAATTTCAGGTATACACTTATAAAGCAAAGTAACATCAAAAATTATTTCTATTGAATTTCACTTTATTCTTCAAAAGCAGGCACAAAATATCCTGCAATGGGTGACATTTAAGGAAAATTTATACATGTATGTGCTTGAAATACAGTTAGGTAGTTCTTAAGGAGCCGAATGCTCTAGGAGAAATGTCAGTCTCAAACTAGGGGATCTCTTTTTGTTCATTAGTCAGACACTGCTGCAACCCACTTGGCCTGCTTTTTAATTTAATTGGAACTGATTAAATAAATGGCTCATGCTGTGATAGGCAGACATTTCATAAAAAGAAATATCAATTTTCTAAATAATCTAATTTATCTAAAAAACAAACCGGTTTTCTAGTAGAAAAGTTCTAGACAAGTCCAACATTCAGTATTTTTGAGTCCGACTAAATTGTGATGAAGTATGCACGTGACACACCGAATTTAAAATTTGCATTGAGGTCACCAATGGTGCTTTGTAAAAATAAAGCTGAAGCAGATGGAAATGACCTGATGTGAAGCCCTACCTGTCGAACAGCGCCAGCAGGGTAAGTCGGTCAAAGTGCAGGCCGACCCACAGGTACGGGAGAAGCCACAGACGGTAGTACTGCTTCGCTTTCCCAGCTGCAGCAGAGCCCGCAGGATCCTCTTGTCCCAGTGGTGCATCCTGAAGCTCCGGACTCAGATCTCCGTCCTGCTGTTCCAGCAGCTCTGGGTCCATAGTCAGCAGACGGTTCAAACGGATCTGAGGGAGGGAGATCTATCCCACAATCAGACAAATGTCCAAAAGACATGATTTGGAATAAAGAAGAAATTGATTACATTACAACAAGATAAAGAGATCATATAGGAGTAATAATAAAGCTTTAACAGCATTAAACATTTTCTTTTAGTACAATTAAATATTTGATTTTGGCTTTCACACAGGTCAAAGCTTGCATCATCACATCCCGTTCACTCTTCAAACCCTATGAGCCCTTGTTGCATACTTGGTTAGACAACACCACTGAAGACATCTTTGTTGCATATTGGCAAAAGAAGCAGAGCACATACAGTACTTTGCAAAAGTCTGTAGCCACCCTTCCCCTGTGTCTTTATGTTTGGCTCTCAAAGAGCCAGACCTTTTAAGTCTTCTTTAGCAATAACTTTGGTGCCTTTTTATGTAAGCCTAAATCTCAAAGGTTAAAGCAGTGTTGTGTCTACACATAACAAACAACTTAGCAAAGAGCCAATTTTAAAGTGTACCTTGAGACACCTGCCTGTTGCAAAATATACAGTTTGTTCCGGTTTCTTTAGTTAAATAGTTTAACAGACAGAAAATACTTTTTTGCAACAACAGGGTGAGTCCTAAAGAGCTATTTGCTGAAAATCTGGTAAGTGTCCTAAAAAATTTTTTTTTCAATAATGAAAACTGCAAAGGGAATGACAAAGAAAAGAAGTGGCAGGGTTAAAAACAACTAACAGCAGATGAACACTATCTCAAAGTCTTTAGGAAATAAGAAAAACTCCAGCTGAGACCTGAGAAAAGATTTAACAGATGTATCGGTCCTTTCATTCATGGACTGTTTGGTGAAACCTTCTCAGATACATTACGTAAACAGTTTTTTTTTCTTATGTACTGAATTTGCACACATGTATCAAATTGTAAATTGCTTCACCTATTCCCCATTTCCTGAGCAAAACAAAGAAACAATAGGTGGCTTGAGAGTTTTGCACAGTACTGTATAACCACGTAAAACCATTTTAAACTGGTCAAGTAGACATTTGAGATGTGAAAGTCTCCTTTTTTTTCACAAACATACATGCCAAAAGGAGCTCACTGGTTGGGTACACACCAGGTCATGAGGGTAAAAGCGAACTGAGGTAGAACTGGAGAGGTGGGAGTCCGTATCCCTGCGGGGTATAAAGAAAATGAGAACACTGATGAAAGAAAAGCATCTGCTGCAATTACTGTATTAAACCATGATTCATTTCCTGATGACCTCAAACTAAATAGCCAATAGGCAATTTGCTGTGTTTTTGTACTGTACAGTCATGTTTTCCTTTTAAGCTAGGGTTCCATTAAAAATAACCGTTGGAGACATGAGGAACTCACTGCAGCGACTAGCAAAACACTACAATCAAGAAAAGGTCAGCAAGCTAACTTGACAAAGTTAGTAATGTATTTATTTCAATTTAAATCAAGGTAAGTGATCCGATTTCAAAACTCAAAAAATGCTGACCAAGCAAAAATCATCAGGGCATGTGTTATGGTGTTTAAATCCTTCAAAGCTTAATGAGAAGATTAAGACTTCTTCTCTTTCAGTGGCATTTTGTTAAATGTGAAGCTACTGCCATCAGAAAGTTCTTGTATTTTATGACAATGGAAACCAGGGAAAAAGGTCTAGCATGGTACAGAAGAAAAGGTAACAGAATCCACCCACGAGAAACCTTAGAGGTACTGGTAGATGCTTTCGTTTAACCAATCATTTCGCAGCTCTTTAGAGAAAACTGCTACCTCCTGATTAAAAACACAAAAAGCTCAGGGTTTGTATCCCGTCGTCTAAAAACCCACTACACAAATCAGGTGATCATTCTGATACTAACCATATGTTATTGGAGGCTCGTCTGGTTGCAGGTTCAAAATTGACCAGCGACATATCACATCCGCCAGCCTCATATAAAGAGGGAGTGAGCTTTCCTGGAGGCACACAACAAAAAGAAAGAGACGCAGAGTCAGTCCATGGAAATCACAAGCACAGAGTGGCGTCGTCTGTGGGAGTAATTTCATTAAATTACATGTTTATATGTGGAGAATTAGATGGATTTGACAATATTGCTGTATTCATCTGAGCTAATGTGATTATGCAGTGAAAGTGCCTCCTCCCAGTGGCTGTAGGCAAGTCACTCATTTCCTGCTCAGTCTTGACAAGTGGTCAGATTTTTCCTAATACATGTCTGTTGCTTCAGAGTAGTTTTACTGCACTTTTTTGTGATGAGGTACAAAACACCACCCAAAAATTACAGATGTACTAAGCCTTTCTATCAAATCCAAACCCTCCAGTATGAATCCACTGAATGTAATGGGTATTAAAAGTGTGGGGAAAATGCAATAAAATAAATAAATAAATAAAAAAGCCTAGCTAGACATTTAAAATATTTTAAGTACATTTTCTGCCTCTCAGTGATAGAAATTAGGATTCCAGCAAGACAAAAAAAAAAAAAATCACTTTCAGGAATTTGTTACAACCCATTTCTATTGAAGTCCTTTCTGTTAAGGACCTGACCGTTTGTGCAATGCATATCCTCCTGAGAACCAAGTTAAAGAAAAATCTCTCAGTTGAACTTTTTTTAGTCCACTACAGAGAACATAACGAATAGGCGGGATCTCAGGAGGACATGGCATGATGAAATTTTCAGAAACATTTCGAAAGATAATATACTTCATCTAGTTGTTCACAGATGTTCCAAAAACCACATCTTCACTTGAGTATTCTTTGAATCACCTTCACATCTAGAGTACATAAAAACCTGCATCAGACCACTCTCAGTCTGTCCTATACAGACAACGGGACAAGTGTACACACACACACACACACACACACACACACAAACCATGCAGCATGTCACAAAAGTAATCTGCTTCTAGTTCAATTATGAGCAGGAGTAATAATCCATTCATCACTGGTTCTGGTGAAGAGTGCATGGCAGCCCCTACACAACCCCTTCTTTTCCTTGATGTAAGTGTTTAAATAGACATGCTTACGTACAGACATCTATACCAATCTGTTACACTGCTGTCAGCATTGGGGTATGTGCTATGATGTGACCATAAGGTAACATTAATATCCAAGTAAGGTCAAGTATTAGCTACAGACCACAATATCACAGAGATAAATGGAGCATGGATAATGGTGCCAGGCTTTGACTGATTACAACAGTCCACCGACTGTGGAAAATAGTGCACTGCTATGACTGATGGCCATGGTCATATCTGCGACAACTCTTTGAGCAAATCCAAAATATCAAGCAGCAGCTTTCTAATCAAGCATGAGGAAAATACCACAAAATATAGGTCTTATGACAAAAATGACCAGATCTGTCACCTCTCCCCAAAGAAATTCTTTCCTAACTGCTCAGCTCTGTTCATGAACTCCCTACCGAAGTCCTCCTGCAAGCTGGTGGCACCAACAGTTGAGGCCTTGTCCTGAGAACCCTCCAGGTGTGCGCTTCCATTCCTGGCCAGCAGGGACGCGCTAGCGCTCAGCACTGTAACCTGGGACGAGGTTCTGGATGGCTGACTTTTCACCTGGGAAGTAGAAGGCTGGGAGGCCTGGTTGAGAGCCTCCTGAAGACTGTTGGGAGGAGAAGGGAAGAAGGGGAGGAAATGAGTAGTGGAGTCCAAGGGGTTGGGGTTGGTATTGCTGGCACATAACGTCAAAAGGTGAGCAGGATATGACGTGTAGTTTTGAAATGGTGGGATTTGATGCGGAGGCTACAGACTAATTTTTGCTCCTCACACAATAATCATTTTTTGTGATGGTGTCAGACATGGTTTAGACTTGTGAATGAAGAAGTTATTTCTTATTGTTTCTCAAGTTACAATCATTTATAAAGCTGTGTACCTAACTCCATTCTTTTAATTCTTCTTAGGAAAAAAAATCTACTAAGACGTGAATGTCCTGTCAAACTTTAGATGGAGATTATCCTTAATGAAGCTGATAAATTCAGGCCTCTGATTACAACAACAGAAATCAGACTAATGAATGCAGACAATTCAGAGGATTTTCATCAAAATAATAAACTCAATTGCTTTCCCTTATAATGTTGGATTAAGAAAACTACCTGAGAAGGCAAAGGTGTCTAGTGCAGCATAAGTACATAAAGTAAAAATGTGCTGGGAGTGAAGGGACAGTGAAGGGTGGAGGAATCAGTGAAAGAGGGAATGATTTTGCAAGTTTATTGACCCCTGGCAGGCTGCACGCTTGCTTTTGTTGCTTAAGGCCCAGCATTTAGCAACGTGACCTTGTAAGATAGATTAAAGAAAACAGAGCTTTGCCTAGAGCACAAGTAAATGGGAGGGGGTTTAAAGAGACCTCGGAGGAACCTGATGTGCATCCACAGAAATATATCAGTGGAAGATTAACATATTTTTTCTTTGAGCATCGACACAACTGCTACTTTACATCTCTGAGTGGTTTTCTTCCTTTTAATCATTCTACAAACCGAGGAGTAACGGTTCATTTGTAGTATTCTGCAGGGAAGCATGGAGCACAGAAAACATTAATACACTCCAGACAGTACTCTGATCTAATATAAAGGGTGCTAGAGACCTGCTGAGTTTGACACTTACTAAACTTGTGTAAAGATGTGATTTGCCCATGTAATAAAATGAATAAAATGTTGCATCAGGGATGTGATCGGGACAAGCCACAACATTGGAATTAAATTACATAAAGGCTTTTTTTTTTTTTTTTTAAAGAGCTTGAATTTAAAAGAAAAAGGTGGGGACATTAAAACATCTTTGTCCAGTGTGCTGAAAAACTGTCAAAACTGGGCTCTTAAAATCTAGAGAAGAGCAACTGGGAGTATCACAGATAATAAACAAAATAAAAACATTCTATCGTCACATATTATTATTTTATCATGTCAGGAAAGACTGCAGACCTAACCTGTGGCTTTTTAATGATCAGTATAATCAGTCTCTCTCTGCACAGAAAGTTCTTTCTGAAGGGCAGAGCAAAGTGATACAGCGGGGCGCCCTTATTGCTTAACAAATCATGCGCACATCTGAGAGGAGACGGCATGTCAGCCAAGTAGATTAGTCAGACCTTGTGGCCTTGTGCCTTTGAATTTGTAAGGACTCCAAGTGGAATTTAAAAGATTGGATGGGATGACAACAGGAGGAAGAGAGAAGTCTTGAGAAAAGGAGGACCAAAGAAACCACATGCAGAGTGGAGAAACCAGTCCAGTCATAAATGATGTCCTGTTTGATGTCATGCACAGCAGAAGACCCAAATTGGTGGTGATGTGGCACAGGAAAGAGCGCCACCTGGTAACATGCTCATACCAGGCAACACAACAATAGGAACGACCCCCTGCTCCATTCACGGCGTACCTGAGAGGAGATCCAATGATGGAGGTGGGTGGGGTGGGGTTACTCCCTGCGTTGTGTCGCCGCCGCACAGCCTGCCGACGAAATGTGCTACGTTCGCGGCGAAATATGACCGTCTCCTCACTTCCTGGGGCTGTCGTGATGAGAGACATCATTGGCCAGTTAGACTGGATAAGTTTCCTCTCTTTATGAGAGCTTTATGTGGACACGAGGACATGATTTTTCCGTGTGTTACGGCTGCTTTCAGGTACATTTTAAAACGGTTACAGAGCAACACCGAAACACAAATTAATGACATAGTCACTGAAAAATGAACCTGGTATGCATATCCTGCATCTTACTCTCTAAACAAATTGTCTTCCTACACCTTTATTGTCACAATAAAAGGTACAAGAAAATATTCCCCAATATATACCAAAATGTGAAATATTTTAAAGATGGAGGTGCAGTATTTAAACCATATCTGATGAATTCTGCTGACAAGCACATGCTCTGGTCATGTGGAACTGGAGGCAGGATGATGGCAGAAACAATGAATTTTGCTTTTACGGCGCTACTTGATCTGTTATGACCAGCAGCTCCTTTTAGCTAAAGTTAGCACATCCGCTAAGTAGGCACAGCCTGTTTACGTCTTATGCTCCATCAGATAAAACACTCCAAGGGTCGATGGGTGAAAGACTAAAAAAGTATGCCAAACAGATAAGGGCAATAAAAGCAACAAAATGACACAGCAGCTCCTAGCTAAACTTAAGTATCTCCTACTAAATTTAGTTAGCATTGGGTGCAAGTCAACAGGGAGTGCTGCAGCAGCAAAACCACCCAGTGTATCAAGATGAGCCAATGTGGCCTTTTGTTTGCATGATAAATAATGCACAACTTATTCACTGAAAAAGTACTTAAGCTTGTCACAGAGGTAGGGTTTGAATTCATCGGCTTCTTCCAAATCGGCCAAATCTCCACTAAAAACCACCACTGATAACTTCAAGTGCAGTCACGGACTTATATTATAACACCAATAAATATCCCTCGACTGACTGTGATATAACAGTGTATAGTGAAGTTATGACATGTTTCTAGCCAACCAGTCATATGCCCTGGCATATCCTGCCTCCAATACTGTATCCAATCCCACGAGGTGTACACTCCAGAAGCCAAAAAATAAGAACCCAGACAGAGCAAATGTGAGATCAGGTTGCAAATTTGAAGAATGTGGAGTATGGAATGTCTATTATACTATCTGAGCTTTACACTAATAAGAGAGCTGCTGCTTGTCTAACCTCAATACAAAGCACACACTGTGCCATCATGCTAACTGATCTACACAGGGAACACTATGCTTGCCACTCCATGGTAACTTACCATGGCTACACTGAATGAACAAGAGAGACAGCATCTTGTCTGCAGTCTTGTCTCACGCACTCACTCCCACACAAACACACACACAATTTTGAGGCAGCTGGACGACTACACCTAAACAGATTAAAGTTGATCAACTTTACCAGTGTGCTCCTGTTTCATGTGCCAGAAACCATGAGTATGACTAAAGGTTTCCAGCGAAGCAATGTTCACTGTGTTCAATACATATCCAAACCATCACCAGCGATTATGTAAACAATTTGCAAGGCAGGTAAAAACAAAACCAGACTAATAACCCTTAATTCTGTCTGCCAGCATAAAAAGTAGACTAGTCATGCATCACTAATGCAAACCACACAGAATGCAATGTGTACAGTACATTGGAGCTCAGTGTGTGGTACATACCCCGTAGGGAAGCAGCATTAGCATCCTGAGGCTCAGCGAAAGCTGCCTGGTTGGGCAGACTGTTTCTGGAGCGAGTCACTGATTCCAGCTGGGAGGCCCGACCCAGCAGGGATGCCGCATCCAGGACTTCCCCTTCTTTGGCTTCCAAATCTGACTTGGAGGTGGTAAGAGGTCGAGGTCCTGCTGGAGCTCCTAGGTGGGTGGGATCATTAAGGCATGCAGCCGTACCGCTGTCTAAGCTCAACACTCTGGCATGTGTTTTGGCACTGCCTGTGCTTGGAGTACGGCGGGAGGTACGCCGCTTCCCTCCGTTTCGAACTCCTGTCTCAGGTTTTACTGTGGTGGAAGAAGAGGAGGAGGCGTTGGCTGAAATGTGCTTGGCTTTCAGGGCCCTGTAGTGGCTCTCTGGTGAGTGGCAGGAGCGGGAGGTGGTGCTAGATGAGCTGTCTGTGCTTAGGTGCTTGGTGGAGCGGAGACTGGAGGCACAGCTGAGTTCACTCTGATCACTGGAGTCATCCTCTCCACCACCAGTGAATACAGCACTACAGGGCTTGGCCATAGCACGCGTAGAGATGTAATCCCGGTGATGGCTGGCATCAAAGCTGCTTGCTCTTTTCTTTCCAGTCCGCCGGCGTCCACTGCGACCCGCTGATAGAGAAGAAGTCCTCTGAACAATGTTAGCTGAGTTTGGTTGAACGTTGTCTTTCACCTGGTCCTGCTCTGTGACAGCTACACCTGTTGAGCCATCAGCACTGGTCCTGATGCCAGGCTCTTCGGCACACTTGACAGGTTCCACCAGTTCTTGGGTTGCAGGTGACTGAGTGTCCGCAGTTTGTTTAGCAGTCAGCTCATTGGCATGTGGGTTTTTATTGGCTTCCCTGGAGGGAAGATTACCGAGACTTCGAGGTCTAATACTAGAAGTCCTGTCGTCTGCAGGAGCAGATACTGTCTCTCCCGTTTCCCGTGCACGTTCATCCCCTGAAAGTGACAGCAGGCTCTCCACATGTGTAGAGCTGGTCTGTTCACTGTGGAAGCTGCTGACAGTGCTGTTGGTGTCTCTGTCTGTGCCACTGCAGTAACTCTCAGTGGAACCACTACTGCGAGTACTCAGACTCCTCAGGCTATCGGCACTTCGCTCCCCTCCTTGGGACTTTGCTCCTCCACCAGAGGCTTTTCCACCACCACTTCCTTCCACCTGGTAAAGTCCTGAGCTACTCTCCCCTGCTTCCTTAGAGGCTGAGCGAGCAACCCTGCGTTGCTCTTTGTGTCTGTAGCACTCTACTCCAGAAGTTGAGGGCACAGCTTGGTCCTGCTGGTGCAGGGGGTCTGCCCCATCTCTGTCACACAGCCCTGGCCTGTGTGGTCTGGCAGTCTCCAGCTCACGCACAGGGTCAAGGCCACCTCTTCTGGGTGGAGGATACAGAGCAAAGTCTGGCAGACTCGGGTCAGGGAAAGCGGAACCTGCCGAGCTAGAGGTCCGTGGCAGACCTCGAGAACGGAGCTCCTTCCTGAAGGTCTGAGATTGCATGGATGAATGAGAGGTTACCTCCGTGTCACAGGAGGAGTGTGACAGGCTGAAGTGATAAGCAGCAGAGTTACAGAGATCAGCAGGCTCCCTGGACAGCTCTGAAGGACACAAGGAGGTTGACGGCTGCAAGGAGGCGAAGGAATCATTGGGAACGAGGCAGTACATCTTTGTGTCTGAGAGCAGATCTAAATGGATACAAAGAAAATATACATTGAGGAAAATACTGAGAAGTAATAGTAATAGCATATGTGACTGTGTGTTTACCATGATCATGACTACAGCTCTCAACAAGAGTCAAACTAATGTCATCTGAGGTCCTTCCACAATCTCCTGAAAATATAGGAAAAACAGTTTTTAAGAAAACCATCATCTTTGAAAACCTACACGTAACTGGGAACTACAGACTACATAACAGAACATTATGAATACAAACTGTTGCCTTGCACTAAGAAATGCTTTTTCTGGGAGGTTTCCCTAATTGTTTATGGGGAAAGGCCACACTTAATGGAGGTATGAGCTAGTCTGAATAGATTCTTTGAATGCTCTGATGACAGCACAAGATAACAATTGAACAAAGATGTAACTGTTAGGATTTGTCTTGGAAATGTTAAGGTTTTTTTTTAGGAGTTGCCATGACTTCCTGGAAGTCTGTGGCAAACTGTCTAAGTGTACAGTAAAGGGGAGGGGAGATTAAAAAACTAAATCCCTGCAGAGCCCTTGTCCCACTTCAGACCATTTAGTCTCATCACAAACTGCCAGCTAATTAGAATGGCATCGAACAGACTCACTGAATTATTCAGGCAACGCAGGCGCCTCACTCAAACACTCAGTACAATGGCCCCCTAGCACAGCTACAAGTTCAGTTGTTGTCTTCATCTCTGTGTTTCAATAATGTGCTCTCAGAGAATGACTCCCATGCTGGGTCTTACAATGTATAACCCCCCTTCCCATTTTTTTCAAAGCCAGCAGTGCCTGTCGAAAGCTGCCTCATCATGGTGTGACTGTTGAGGTCACAGCAATGCTGAGTCAGGCTGCATCTCCTGAGCAGCTTGGGGGGG